ATGTATGAATCATTTACAGCATACCTAACTTCCATATATGGTTTTGGCGGGCGATACAGATTCGAAGGAACGTTCGTTGAGCTTTGCCGAGAGTGTCTTCAAGATATTTATACGCTTGGAATATTGCCTTTAATTTATCTTCACAATTCGAGTACAATATGAGTGGAACTTGAAACGAAAACAAAAGAAGTACACCATGACTGAATTTTGACGATACAAGTAAGTTTTGGGGTAGAAAATGTATCGGTTCCAGTCGTTTCAATATATATCGATTCTTCTTTGCAAGCCATTTGCAAATGACACACGAGTTAAGCCTTAAGGTTTACAAAGTTAAAGCTTGTTTACCTCGCCTAAAGTGCAGTGTAAATTCAAAATATAAAACCCAAGTCTTGTTCTCCTTAGATCGCATTTCGTTCCAGTTTTTGTACGTAATAGGTAGACATATTTCTTTAATAAGGTAATGGCACAATTTACTTTGTAGCCAAAGAGTACAGATCTAATCATTCTTGTCTATTAAACATTTACTAAAATTAAGAAGAATATTGTGTGATGGTTCTAAGCAATAATTATTAAGTACAAGTGAGTTAAAGAAAGTTCAGAAAGAAACCTGTTAATATACAAGCACCTTCCTTGAAATGATCTCATTGTCAATGAAAATTTTACTAAAATCAAGAAGAATAATATATTATGGTAATCAAATGCAGTGATTTCCTTTGATAGGAATAGAAAATGTATATTTTTATGTTGTGGAAACCTATTTCAACAAGATTTGCAATATATTTTTTTATAATTTCTTAGTACATTTGTATTGCTTTAAGTTAAGGGTAGTTTTTTTTGTTATATCAATAAATGATTTTACAAAATAATTGATCCAAGTCTGACGTGTCTCAGTGATTGATTAACATATTGCATTGAGTATACTTTAAGTATAATTTTAAGTATACTTGAAGTATACTTCCCATTAAGTATACTTCAAGTATACTTTAATTAAGTATACTTTAAGTATACTTTTTAGGTGTCGAAAAGTTGTGTACTTAAAGTATACTTCTGGTAAGTATACTTAAAGTATACTTTAAGTACAAATGAAGTATACTTTTTAAAGTGTTTATCACCTATATAAAGTATACTTTAAATGTACTGAATTTCTGCAAGGGCATTGACCACTCTTTTCAAAAATTTATAGCTACAGTTATACTTGACCTGAAGGCCCTCTATTTTTTGCTGGAACAAATAGGGAAAGCGAACCTTAAGCTTGGGAAACGAGGAACTGAAGTAGATTGTTGCTTTATCTGCAAAGCATTGAGGGTATGTGGATACATTCAAAATCTCTGAGTCAACAAATTCTACTATGCAGGTTTTGACCTTACCAATGACCAACTTACTAATATAGTACTATTAGATTTTCAGTTGTGCTGGGTAAAATTTCTTAGAAAAAACTAGCTATGAATAATGGCTATTTTTATGGGATGTTGCGATCTTGGTCCACATACAGTTTGTTTGAAACACTTTAGCATGTCCAAGGCCAACATTGGAGGGTAATTTAGTTATAGTTTTGGTTTACTAAGAATTCTCCGATGATACTTGTTGAGGCATATAGCCCTTGATTATTCATGAATTTCAGCATTTGTAGTTGTCATTTTGAATTCACAGTAACTTCTAGTTATAAAAGGCATTCAAAACATTAAGGTTATCTCAATACGGTTAACCTCTATTCAAAAAATTAAATTCCCTGGTATAGTGAGTGAATCCCTTCATCCCAGCATTTATAGCTTAACAAGTATGTTTTCTATGAAAGACTCACTTTTTATATAGACCTCATTTTAGCAATAATATTTTGTAAATTAAGCCTTGCCTTTTGTTAATAAGGGGAAGTTCCACTGCATGGAAAAGGAAGCAAAAAGCTTTTTTTGGAAAAACATGGTGTTTAATGCCCCTGTCTATAAAATGTTGGCAATTATCCTTGTCTTGTTTTCCTAGAGAGCACATATTATTTTCCTATAATAATGTACCACAGTCTTCCTTTACTGTAGGTGTGTCAATGTTGTAGGGGCACTGTCATAAAAGACTGAAAACCTGTCGAGAAAAATACTTGAGTTTGAAATCTATAAAACTGTTAAGTACATATCCCCCACAACTAACAGAATAATTAATCTTCTTTTTTCTAGTTTCAAAGGCATCCGTGATGACTTAGAGTTCCTTCTTAAAGAGGATTTATCGTCTATTAATCTCTGCGCCTTTCACTGTGAACTTAGAAATACCGAAGAGTTGTTGTCATCATTGGGTTTGTTTTTGTACAAAGTGGGTTCACTTGATGAATGTAATGCCGAATTGGCAAATTATGGCCCTGAGAATTTTAGCAGCAGAATAACAGTGAAGATGAAGGAGGGCCAAGAAACTGCTGTTGAAAAGCACAGCATCCAGGTGTCTTCATTTTCAGGTACCTTCTATATTGTTTCATTTTTATCATGATTGCTTTCATTCCCTTTATCCGCTTCAGGGCTTTTACTTTTGTGCTGTAGCAGCTGCTTGAGTTTCATTTGTACAATACCTTGATCCTTAATATGAAAACGGTAACACTGCTTTGTAATGAAGATTTCATTAAGTTGTGAATTTAAATCCTGTTTGTTTCTTTCTGTACTATTTTTCCGGAAGGTTCTACTGATCGTGAGTTCCTCACAAACATTGAAACGATTGTCAGGAACTCCTTGCTTCATGACAAATTTAAGTCATTTTTTGCTGATCCAGAAAGTGCTAGAGAGGCACTCCTGAATAAGGTCACAATATTTTGTAATGATAGAATCAAGGTATGGCTCAGGATATCACATGATTTGAATGTTTCACTTAAACCAGTGCAACACACAATAATATTTTTTGTGCAGTATGTAGAAGCATACACTGAAAAAAATGGTTTCTGTTTAAAATATTCAATGAATTTTTAAAAATTTGTTTTAGTACTATCAGGACATGGCTATTTCAGACACATTTACCAGAGACTTTGGTTCAATTAAATCAAAGGAGGAGACTATTACCCTCACAGGTTCAGGTACATGTTACAGTCATTATACTGTTATTTAAAACCTTTCCTTCCCTTTGACTGTGATAAACTAGACAGTTTGAATTAATGACTGCATTTATATCCATCTACACTGGAAGTTGTGATAGGCTAGCTAGCACTGTTAGTATTAATATAACCCCATGACGTGACCATTGTGTATCAAGGGTACATCATTATTGCATCAGATTACTACATCCCAACTGAGTGAATGTTCCTTAGCATGTACAGCACACCCAGTGGTTTGTGTTCTTGCATAATAGTCCTCCCTTAAAAAGAATACCCCCTTACACTTTGTGATGTGACTACCTAACCTGTTTTCCTTAGAAGCTGTAAAAGAAGTTCAGAGAAGACTGGAATTCTGGCAGGGCAGACTACGTAAATCAAGGAAAATTTGTGGAGCTGTCAGAAAAGTGTGTTGGTGGGTCAGTTGCTAAAGGGAAACGAGGAAAAAAAGGCAGAAGGTGGACAATGCTGATCTTTCTCAGTTATCTGATTATGCAGCAGAAGTGTTTTACCAATTTTGTTAAAAGTAATTAAATAATCAAGTCTTTTTTTACTTAATTGGAAGACATGTTGGACAGTTTTATGAGAAATAAGATATCGGGCAAAATCCAGACACGTTAAGTTAAAACTAGTCAAGCTGATTTTGCTTTTTTGAACAAAATTCTTAACTTTAACAAGTGGTAGTTACAAAACACAGGTCACAAGGGAAGGTCACTGCATACTCTTATAAAGAAAAACTGAGATAGGCATGCAGTTTCCCCTTAACTTAATACACCTCAATTCAGATTGTAATTTGGGCTTTTCATATAATTATTCACTTTGATTTCAGGTTGACACTGACTGGAAAGACATTTCTGAAGTTATTAGAAGTAGTGTCTTCGAGGAAGATTAGCAAGATTTAATTGACATTTTTGACATACAGGTATGTGTCAGGTAATTCACTTTTAGTAAGAGTGTAAATACGTACCCTTTGAAAATGAAGTCCTCTTAATGGAAAATATGCATAATGTCTAAAACTATTACAACAATAAATTTAGACAAGAAGGTTAATACAGCTGTAGTGGAGTTTCTTGTAAATCTTTCAGCAGAGACTGACCAGCAATTAAAAGCCATTGCATGACGAGAAATTCAAAAATAATTTCCAATCACTTTAACTGACATTCAAAAACTCATTAATAATCCATAAAGAAAAAACAAAAGAAAGAAATGCTTAATGAGTGTCTATCTGATAAAGGCACGGCTAAACTTTACATGCAATTTTTTAGATTAAAAAAAAAACAGACCTAAATATTAATACAAGATCTATATCAGAGATTTTGAAGCCCTTCAAAAAATTTGCAGTCATTTATAATCAGAACCTGGATATACACTCATGCTGGTCTTTTAAACAATACTTAAAGTTTGATTATAGAATGAGGCACATACATTATTATTTTAAAAGTAAAATGTTTTTCCCTTCTAAAATGTTTAAGATATTCACAAAGTACAGGTCACATTCCCCAGGTAATAAGTACATGTCACTGCTCCATGGATGAATTGCCAAACCACACAGATTCCCCTCTATCTAATAGAGCATTTTGTTAAGAGTTTAGGGCTTGCAAATACTTTTAATGCTAAAATTGTGAAAGGTTTCAACCCAGGAGTATAATACCATCACTGACGTGATACAATTCACTTTGACTGAGCTGAAGATGACTACCGCACAGGTTGTCGAAACGTCAGTCACTGTCAACAACAACAGTCCTATTCAGGACTATGTTCACCCGGATGATCAAACTCAACCTACTTTTAAATTCATTTGTCTGTATCATGGTGAACTGTACTCTGACAGTGTGGAAAAGTTACCTGTATTTTAGACCCACCGTCAGTTACTGCACAGTCTTCAATGTTGATTTTGACAACTGTTTAACATGTATGGAAATATGCCTCTTTTTTCTTTTAGTGCAAAGAATGGGAATTCCTTGTAAGGGAAGTGTTTGGCTGCAACCTGGGCACTGGTGATTATGGCCACATCACCACTGAACATGCCAGCATGCTGTTTAGAAACCACCTCAGCTTGAGGGAGTATTCAAATCAAGGCTTTGAGGCAGCACACTCATCACAGTGTCAGTTATATTCAAAGGCTACTTCCCATGACAGGCATGGTCATGCTACATCAAGTTAGTTTTATATTTTACTTTTTATTATTATTACTTTTATATTATCATACATCTCAACACTACAGTACTTGAAACTAATAATTTATCACCTACTTAAATATTGTTAGAACTAAACTAAAGTACAACTCTTTTTATAGAAAGGTTAGGAAGCTCAACATTTCATTTTCACATTGTTTTGTGATACCACAGATGATGCATAGTTCATAAGGACACGAAAAGCTCTTGAATTTTAACTACCCTCTTAAAAGCTCCTGAATCTAAGTGGAGTCAATGGAAAATCCTTGAACTTTAAATCTTGTTTTGAATATCCTTTAATCTTAAGAGTTTTCGTTGTTAGCAAAATAATTTCCTGTTGGAGAACATCCATAGGTATTAAAAATACCTTTAGCATCAGTTTTTCATGGGATTACTGCAAACTGTAAACTGCAGTCTGCAGTCACCCATTTGCAGTTCTTTAGGCAGACATTCATTGTTTATCACCAGCTCTAACTTAGCACATCAGAGGGTGGTGTAGAAAGCTGCTTCGTGCTTTTAAATGTAAGGCTGAACAATAATATTATTGTTAGTGGCAAAAACATTGCTGTAAGTCACCTACTGCTGTAAGCCTTTCCTGCCATTCGAACTTGAACTGCAAACTGCAAACGCAACCAGAAGATTGACCAGTCAACTTTCTTATATTTGAGACCTGTTTGCAGTGTCCCATGCATGAAAAACCTGATGCTAAAGATCTTTATTAAAATTTAAATGCCAATTTACAGTTAGTATTGAAGTCATTGTTCAAGGCATACCATTCTTAGTAAAATTAATCAGTGTTTGGGAGTTACACTGTACATGTTCTTGAATAATATGTATCTTATTGATGTGTGAAAACTAGAATCCATTGGGGGAAAAGGCAAAGTCTGGTTTAATCACATGTTCTTGTTGGTATTGAAGTTGTTGGCACTTTTGATTAATCAACTTTATTTCATTATATTAAGTCCAACAGATTTTGCAACATTTCTTTTGTGAAAAGTTACTGTTCCTGCGGCTTTGCTTCAGAATGGCTATAGAGAGCATGGAAAAATAATGGTGATTATCTTCTAAAATGTTTGCAGCTAGAAACTTTATATAATTGAACTTCTTTTTATGTCAGTCCCTTAGATGTGTAGTGAAATGTATTCTCCCTTGTTGATCGAGACGTTATGTAAAAAACTGAGAGTTGTGACATATTTCCATAAAAAGCGTACACTATATTCAATCGGTCGGCTACGAAGTTTAGAAAAAATGCCCCCCAAGTATGCAGTTTTCTCAACAGTTTTGTCCAAGATTGTAGCACTGTTAGTATTAATACAACCCCATGACATGACCATTGTGTATCAAGGGTGCATCATTATTGCATCAGATTACTGCATCTCAACTGACTGAATGTTCCTTAGCATGTACAGCACACCCAGTGGTTTGTGTTCTTGCATAATAGTCCTCCCTTAAAAAGAATACCCCCTTACTCTTTGTGATGTGACTACCTAACCTGTTTTCCTTAGAAACTGGAAAAGAAGTTCAGAGAAGACTGGAATTCTGGCTGGGCAGACTACGTGAAATCGAGGAAAGATATGTGGAGCTGTCAGAGAAGTGTGTTGGTGGGTCGGTTGCTAAAGGGAAATGAGGAAAGAAAAGGCAGAAGGTGGACAATGTTGATCTTTCTCAGCTATCTAGAAGTGTTCTACCAATTTTTTTTAAAGGTAATCAAATAATCAAGTCTTTTTTTACTTAATTGGAAGACACACTGGACAGTTTTATGAGAAGTAAGATATGGGGCAAAATCCAGACACATTAAGTTAAAACTAGTCAAGCTGATTTTGCTTTTTTGAACAAAATTCTTAACTTTAATAAGTGGCAGTTACAAAACACAGGTCGCAAGGCAAGGTCACTGCGTGCTCTTATAAAAAAACTGAGATGGGCATGCAGTTTCCCCTTAACTTAAAACACCTCATTTCAGATTGTAATTTGGGCTTTTCGTATAATTATTCATTTTGATTTCAGGTTTACACTGACTGGAAAGACATTTCTGAAGTTATTAGAAGTAGTGTCTTCGAGGAAGATTAGCAAGATTTAATTGACATTGTTGACATACAGGTATGTGTCAGGTAATTCACTTTTAGTAAGAGTGTAAAGTACCATTTGAAAATGAAGTCCTCTTAATGGAAAATATGAATGATGTCTAAAACTATTACAATAATAAATTTAGACAAGAAGGTTAATACAGCTGTAGTGGAGTTTCTTGTAAATCTTTCACCAGAGACCAGCAATTAAAAGCCATTGCATGACAAGAAATTCAAAAATAGTTTCCAGTCACTTTAACTGACATTCAAAAACTCATTAATAATCCATGAAGAAAAAACAAAAAAAAGATATGCTTAATGAGTGTCTATCTGACAAAGGTACGGCTAGACTTTACATGCAATTTTTTACATTAAAAAAAAAAACAGACCTAAATATTAGTACAAGATCTATATCAGAGACTTTGAAGCCGTTCAAAAAATTTGCAGTCATGTATAATCAGAACGTGGAAATATATACACTCAGGCTGGTCTTTTAAACAATGCTTAAAGTTTGATTATAGAATGAGGCACATACATTATTATTTTAAAAGGAAAATGTTTATATCTCTCCTAAAATGTTTAAGATATTCACAAAGTACAGGTCACATTCCACAGGTAAGAAGTACATGTCACTGCTCCAAAGATGAATTGCCAAACCACACAGATTCCCCTCTATCTAATAGAGCATTTTGTTAAGAGTTTAGGGCTTGCAAACACTTTTAATGCTATTCATTTGTCTGTATCATGGTGAACTGTACTCTGACAGTGTGGAAAAGTTACCTGTATTTTAATTAGACCCGCTGTCAGTTTAACTGCACAGTCTTCAGTGTTGATTTTGACAACTGTTTAACACCCATGGAAATATGCCTCTTTTTTCTTTTAGTGCAAAGAATGGGGATTCCTTTTAAGGGAAGTGTTTGGCTGCAACCTGGGCGCTGGTGATTATGGCCACATCACCATTGAACATGCCAGCATGCTGTTTAGAAACCACCTCGAGCTTGAGAGAGTATTCAAATCAAGGCTTTAATTGAGGCAGCACACTCTTTACAGCTCAGTTAATGGCTACTTCCCATGACAGGCATGGTCATGCTACATCAAGTTAGTTTTATCTTTTACTTTTTTAGTACTTTATTTTTTTTATATATTATCATACATCTCAACACTACAGTACTTGAAACTAATTTTGTCACCTACTTAACTATTGTTAGAACTAAACTAACAACTCTTCTTATAGAAAGGTTAGGTTAAGTCGAGTTAATGGAAAATCCTTGAACTTTAAATCTTGTTTTGAATATCCTTTAATCTTGAGAGCTTTCATTGTTAGCAAAATAATTTCCTGTTGGAGAACATCCATAGGTATTAAAAATACCTTTAGCATCAGTTTTTCATGGGATACTGCAAACTGTAAACTGCAGTCTGCAGTCACCCATTTGCAGTTTCACTTTGCCTGGATTTTAAACTTTAGGCAGACATTCATTGTTTATCACCAGCTCTAACTAGCACATCAGAGGGTGGTGTAGAAAGCTGCTTTGTGCTTTTAAATGTAAGGCTGAACAATAATATTATTGTTATAGTGGCAAAAACATTGCTGTAAGTCACCTACTGCTGTAAGCCCTTCCTGCCATTCAAACTTGAACTGCAAACTGCTTTTGCATATTTGAGACCTGTTTGCAGTGTCCCATGCATGAAAAACCTGATGCTAAAGGTCTTTATTGAAATTTTAAATGCCAATTTATAGTTAGTATTGGAAGTCATTGTTCAAGGCATACCATATTAGTAAAATATCAGTTTTTGGGAGCTACACTGTACATGTTCTTGAATATTATGTATCTTATTGTGTGAAAACTAGAATCCATTGGGGAAAAAGGCAAAGTCTGGTTTAATCACATGTTCTTGTTGGTGTTGAAGTTGTTGGCATTTTTGAATAATCAACTTTATTTCATTATATTAAGTCCAACAGATTTTGCAACATTTCTTTTTTGAAAAGTTGCTGTTCCTGCGGCTTTGCTTCAGAATGGCTATAGAGAGCATGGAAAATGGTGATTATCTTCTAAAATGTTTGCCAGCTAGAAACATTATATAATGGAACTTCTTTTTATGTCAGTCCCTTAGATGTGTAGTCAAATGTATTCTCCCTTGTTGACACAACGTTATCTAAAAAACTGGCAGTTGTGTATTCCCATAAAAAGCATACACTATATTCAATGACAACATTACTATGCACTTCATCTTTTTCTACCTGGAATGGGGTGAGATAACATTAATATGTTGTCATTCTTCCTCTTGAGCAGTAGAAAACTAACCACATAAAAACTTGCAGTAAGCTTTATAGAGCTTATTGAACACAGTCTTTTAAAATCCTTTTTGTTGACATTGTTGTTTTAACTGTGACTGGTTCCCTTATTCTGCCAATGCCAATGTTTTTTTTTTGTATGTCAGGTAAACCATTCCACTTTAGAGGCTGCGGTTGGTCCAGAAAAAAAGAAGTGTCATGGTCAAAAGATGACATGGCCTGGATTTTCACCATGAATGACTTGTTCAACAAAATGTTTGGCAAGGATGCTCTTTCTTATGAATTTGACAAAGGTTTAAAATGAGTGGTAATATCACCCGACTGTTTACCTATCTATCAATATGATCATGAATTGTGGGGGCAGCTCTTTCCTACAGTTGTGACCAGTTTTACTTCCTTCCTGGAACAGCCACAAAGTCCACAAGCCATTCCAGCTAGCAGCCCAGCTTCCAGCAACACTGGCCAGTCAGCAGCTCTTCCACAAGCCTCTCATCAAGCCCCGCCACTAGCCCTTCAAATTCCAGTTGCATCCCTTCGTCCCGTGTCACGGTGGATACTAAAACTGCCTTTGTTCATCAACCATCAGAACCTTTGTTTATTCATGATTTACCAATTTGTGCTGCAAATGATTGTTCCAGAGGCCAACTTGCTACCCTTGATCTTCCGCCTGTAATTCAAATTCCGGATGATGACATCGAGCTGGTTGTTGATCCTGGGTGTCTTAACAATCCTCTGCAGTCCCCAGTCAGGCCTTCAGAATCAGTGATGATGAGGATTTCGACACTGCAGTCAAGTTTGGAGATCTTGGGGTGTTTGACAGCAGAGCTCTAGACATTTGGATGAAAGCATCAAAAGCTTCCTCCATTAAGTTTAGAGTCCAAGAAGAGGAAAATTGAATGAAAACTACAAGCACCACATTAACCCCTCAGCAGATTAATGAAATTAGGGCTTTGCTTTTAGACAGTGAACCTGAAGAAGAAATCTTTAGAATTGGTGATGTGATGGTTGATGCTGAAGACCTTTCAACCCGAGTTGTTTCAAAGCTTTCAATAAGATACTTTTTATTAGTGTGATGAAAATGCTTTTGACAATATTATTGTAAGGGTTTCCTCTCCATCTTAGGTTTACAGGCGGCGAGCTCAAACTGCGGAGGTGATTGAACCCACTTTTTGCTGAATTAATTTTTTGAAAGGTTTTAATAAGATAGTTGTTATAAGAATGAAAACTCTTTTGACAATATTATTGTAAGGGTTTCTTTTCCCTCTTAAGGTTTACAGGCGGCACGCCCAAACTGCGGAGGTGATGGAACCCAGTTTTCGCTGAATTAATTTTTTCAAAGGTTTCAATAAGATAGTTATAAGAATGAACATGCTTTTGACAATTATTATTGTAAGAGTTTCCTCTCCCTCTTAAGTTTTACAGGTGGCACGCCCAAACTGCGGAGGTTATGGAACCCAGTTTTCGCTGAATTAATTTTTTCAAAGGTTTCAGTAAGATAGTTATAAGAATGAACATGCTTTTGACAATTATTATTGTAAGAGTTTCCTCTCCCTCTTAAGTTTTACAGGTGGCACGCCCAAACTGCGGAGGTGATGGAACCCAGTTTTTGCTGAATTAATTTTTTCAAAGCTTTCAATAAGATAGTTATAAGAATGGAAACTCTTTTGACAATATTATTGTGAGTGTTTCCTCTCCCTCTTAAGGTTTACAGGTGGCACGCCCAAACTGCACAGGTGATGGAACCCAGTTTTTGCTGAATTAATTTTTTCAAAGCTTTCAATAAGATAGTTATAAGAATGGAAACTCTTTTGACAATATTATTGTGAGTGTTTCCTCTCCCTCTTAAGGTTTACAGGTGGCACGCCCAAACTGCACAGGTGATGGAACCCAGTTTTTGCTGAATTAATTTTTTCAAAGCTTTCAATAAGATAGTTATAAGAATGGAAACTCTTTTGACAGTATTATTGTAAGAGTTTCCTCTCCCTCTTAAGGTTTACAGATGGTACACCCAAACTGCGGAGGTGATGGAACCAACTTTTCACTGAATTAATTGTTTTAAAGCTTTCAATAAGGTGCTTATGATCTATGATATTGAACTCTAACTTTTTTTCAGTTTTACCAAGGACAACACCTTCACATAAGTTATTGTCTCAAAAGTAATGTTGTTTGCTCTTTTTTAAGTTTTTAGGCAAAAGACATGGCATTGATGTCCAGCTAAAATTCCAACAAAAAACCGAATGAAAAAAAAATCCTGCAGGTCATTATACCAGG